TTCAGTAATTTCACTGTTGGGTCTCGCTAGCGAAGTTATGGTTATCTCTAAAGTGCCGCCGACTGAGACGACGATAGCGGGGATGGTGCCTGAGCTGGTAGCTTGAAGAACCCAGAAAACCCCATATGGAAAAACACAAAATCAAGCTGAAAAAACGAGGAAATTAGAAGAATTTAAAATTAGGAAATTTCAAAAACATAAAAAATTAAATATTTCCTCTCACCCTGGGGCGGGGGACGAAAATAATTTTTGACAGAATTGTAAAGGAAGGATATATTGATTTGAGACACCCATTTTCAGGAACTATGTTGATCAATTTTCAATTTTAGGGGTCATCTTGATGGAGTGGGTGTTAGATCCCACATCGCTTAGTGATAGGAGTATATGTATGCGACTTAGTTAGCTTGTTCTTGTGCATTTATGTGTTATTTCTTAGTCAATTATGTATTTTAAGCTATTTTCGTGTTTGTAGGTCATAATAACAAAGTTGGCAAGAAAGTGCATTTTGGTGCATTTTGGAGCAATTTAAGGCTGAAATGGATTGCATGCATATGAAGCAAAGTGGTTGGACGAAATTAAAGATCTAAAGAAGCTAGGAATGTGCCAAGGAAAGGAAGAAAATAAATTGAGGACCAAGGAAGACAGGGAAACAATTAAGAATGAGGAAAGACTAGTCAAACTTGCCTTATCTTGTTGTTACCTTTCCTAAATCCTAAATTACCAAAGATTTAGCCACATGAAGGGTCCTAAATACTTTGGGACATTTCATTACATATTCTACAAGTCCTAAACCTGCCCTAAAAGTCCAAGCCATACCATCCTTCACCATTTCTCTTCCTTGTCGTGCAAGGGAGTCATTCCTTTCCTATTTTCTGCCATAAATCACTCCATTTTACCACCCATGCCATGCACATTCATCCATGTTCCCTCCTTGCACTCATTTGATGCACCATTCCACTTCCTTTCCTTTGTCTACCATGTGCACAATATCCTTTCACCTCCTTGCACTCATTGATTCATCATTTGCTCACCTTTCCACCTATGTCATGCATAATCACCCTTGTCCCTTCATGCACCATTACACTCATTATCCCTTCATGTCGTGCACCACCCTTGTCTCCTTCATTATTTCTGATTTCATGCACCAAAACATTGAATCATTACACTCAATTGCTGCATATTCCTTGTCCCCTTCACCGATCAGATTTCATACAACTTTTACCTCCACTACATGCACTCATTGATGCACTATCCACCACATTTGGAATCCCATGCCGTGCATCATGACTCAACCTGCACCTTTGACTCATTTATGCACCATTCCACCTCCCTTTCTTTTCTCTACCATGTGCACAATCATTCATGTTCCCCACTTGCATTCATGGCTGCAACACCACTCCATTTTACCCCCTATGCTTTGCATCATCACTTCACTTTCACCTTTGAATCATTTCAACACCACTTCATGCACTCATTGCTGCAACACCATTCCATTTTACCCCTCATGCTTTGCATCATTACTTCATTTTCATCCTTGAATCATTGCACACACCACCATTTTCTTCTCCTTGCCGTGCACTTCCTTTATAAAAGGAAGTGTGTGGGGCAGCCATAGAGCTTAGTTTTTTTTGCTTGATCATTCATCCCCATTTCAATATAACCTTCATCCAAACACATCCATTCATCTTTACATCCATTCCTCCATACAAACAAACCTTCAAACACTCACCAACACCTTGTGCCGTAGCAAAGGAAGGAAAGGAAAGTGTTTGGACGTGCTTGCTGTCCAACTTGGATTGTTAGAGTGTTTAGGTGTTTTCTTTCTTTTGTTTCCAATGTTTAAATTCATTTTCTTTCGTTTTGTTGTGAATATGAGTGGCTAAACCCCTCTTAGCTAGGGGTGATTTCAAAGCCATGATTATGTGTGTAATATGATTTGATAAATTCCAGTTATGAACTCTTGAATCGTGAATGCAATTGGCTTAACTATTTGATTGATAACTTATTTGTATTTGTTGATTAAGGGTCGACACTTAATTGACATGCATAAATCCGATGCTAGAATATAAGAAAGTTTCACATAATCGTTACAAACTTATATTCATAAGTAGTGGAGGTCGCTTATAAACGATCGAGTTAAGTTTAATTCTAGCATGAGTGACATGATGTCATAGTTGCAAGTGCTTTGTCAATGCTTATGATTTTCATTAAACGTAATGATCTTTGATTGTATCTCTATTATGATGTCATGTAGGGAACTTTTGAAGAATGTTTTGGGTTGTCGAATGATGTCATCCAATCCAATAAAACAAGGAAATTTTGAGGGTTAACTAGTGATGTCACAGTTAATTTAGGGCATTATTGTTCATAATTCAATGAAGTAGTAACTGGAAATCGAATTGTTTGCATACATGTCATGTGTAGAGAAAAAGCCTCTAGCTATCCCATCCATCATCTTATTTCTCAAATTTGTTTTACAATCTATCTAGTTTTTCATACTTGTTTGATTGTTTCAACTTCATCCAAATCAAAACCCCCTTTTTAGTTTCTTGTTTCTAAGTGTTTCAAATCTATTTTAATTTGTGTTTTTAAGTGTTTTGATTCAAGTAAAAGTCAATTTTCGTCCAAAGTCATTCATAGTGTCTAGTTTAAGTTTATTTGGTTGTTTTAACCTGTTTTGAGTATTTTAAGTTTGCCTTGAGTCTTGTGAGTCTTGTTAAGTGTTTTTAAGTTTAGTTTTATGTTTTTGAGTCAGTTTAGAGGTTATTAGCAAGCCCTCCTAATCCCCGGCCCAGAACGATCCCTACTTATACTTATACTACAATTGTCAAAAAGGGTTAAATTTGTGTGTTAAGTTAATTTTCGCATCACTCAGGGGAGTGGATTCTCTATGCCTTATATGTACATGCTTACCTCCATATAGCACGAGGCCTTTTTGGAGCTCATTGGCTTCGGATTCCATAGGAACTCCGAAATTAAGCGAGAAAGGGGCCAGAGCATTCCCAGGATAGGTGACCTACTAGGAAGTTCTGCTCGTATGAGTTCCCAAAAACAAAACCATGAGGGCATGCTCGGGGCCCAAAGCAGACAATATCATGCTACGGCGGAGTCGAGCCCAGGATGTGGTGGAGCCCGGGTTGAGATGTGGCAATGGGTCTTTTCAAGGACTATTTGTGATAAAACTCTATTTCCTATTAGTTGTGAATATTCTTCCTACGCAGTATTGGATATTCTTACCTTTACTGCATTATTGTCTATACTTTTACACTGCATGAATTTCCTGCATTGCGCACTTTCACTCCTAGATTAAATTAGTTCTAGACTTTGGTTTTAATTTATTCGTACTTTTTACACATCATTTGCATATTAGAGCTTGGTCTCTTTCTAGATATCGGCCATCATGCCTTGATTTTGACGCCCATTTTGATATTCGGCTCAAGTTGTGTCATGACTAGCAAGTTGAACAAGACTATGCTAACCTTAATGCAATATACACCGACCTTTTTAGATTATCAATGTCGAGTTGACTTTCTAAATTACTAGGAACGTTGTTGAAGGACTAAGCGACTATAGAATACAAGTCTCCCTACTCTAATCTCAGTTAAGGCATTGTTTCCATACGTTCAGCCTTATGTATATTATCATATTATCCTGCACTAATCTCGTTAAAGACATTGCTTCCATACATTAAGTCGTATGTATATTATCTTATTGTTTAATTAATTAAAATGAAGTTGTTACACAATATCTAATATTACGAATTGGCTTTAAGACACAAGTCCAACAGTTACCATACACATAAGTGTTAATATGTTAAAAGCTGTAATGTTTATTAACAATTAGGAGATTTGTTTGTACTTTGTGCTTATGTGAGATTGTAACTAATAATTGTTTGCGACCATGAGGTTTTATTTAATTGAAACTTAATCCTAGTTGATTTTATGCAGAATGCCATGAGAACGTGTAATGGCAATTTCCATGAAAGTTTATGCAAAATACCAATTGAATCTTGCACAAGAGCATACATAAATTGTATTTTTGTGTAATTTTCTCCATGGCCTTAGTTGTAAGTTTGTCAGTTATGAATTGAATTTGAGAATAAAACTAGCTCAATTCCTCAGAACCGATACCATTCCTCTTTCTTTATTTTTGAATTATAATATAGAACCTTAAATCGAAAAGAAACAAAAAAAAGAACGAACAAAAATAGTAAATCTCTCTGGTGTGTGGTTTTTTTAATTAGAGGGTATATTGGTAGTTAATGTGAGATTTTGGATAATTTTGAATTTTTTTTATAAAAATTAATATTTACGAATTTAAGAGTCATAATTCTAGGGTGCTCAGAATTATTAAGTGTAACTAATAGAGTTTTACCATTTCATGAGAGTCAACTGTCAAACAGTGCGACTGCAAACTTTACATACATTGTACATGACGCGCGGTGCGCTGTTACCTAAAACAAGGTGTTACACATTGCGCACGTGCACAAAGGAGCGAATAAGTTCTGCCCCCTCTTTTGTTGATCTGTCTCTTTCTAAATTTGATCTACAACAACACTGTACATCAAATAGAAAATCATTTTTTTATATTTTTTATGTTTTCTTTAAAAATGAATCAGCGGATGATTTCGCTACCACAGTCTATCCTTTTGTAGGTCCGAAAAACTCACAGATATGCTTGCGACTTTTTTTTTTTTTTTTTTTTTTTTATAATTTTAAAGAAAAGGGGAACAAATGACTCATTTTGGGCTCGGAACGGTTACGGAGACTTTTACTTTGCCTGTGGTCACCTTTTTTTGTTTGCTAGGAGCCACAGTCCGCGCCCTTACCAATGGATCACTTGTTTTTGTTAGAGAGGCATGCGATTCACCAACAACAACAACTAAACTCCGTATTGTGTAGAATAGGGGTTTGAAATTCGTCTCTAATCATTGAGCCATCGGGTGGTCATGCTACTTTTTCAAGGGGTGGGTGGTTGTTGAAAGGAAAAATGTCTCTGACTTTTATGGTTCCTGCCCTTCCCTGGTCTTTGTTTACAACTTCAAAGATAGACACCATCCATCCAGGGCCGGGTCTTTAGTCCCTACACATTCCCAATAATAAAAGATTGAAATCAGAATCTTACACAAAAGAAGAAGAAATCTGACTTTGTATTATTCATCATCGTTCATTTTTCTTCCATTTCCGAATATCTGATCATATATTTTGTATCAATAAATTGATACGGTTCAAGAAACGTTGGATTCTCTGTATTTCGTACCAAATTCGTACCGGAAACCGATCGATTCTAAATCCCATCTCTCCCGATCGGTCTCGTATCTCTGTGTGATTCAATCCAGAGCTAAGTTGTTGGGTTTTGGGGCGCCCGCCGGCCATGGCGACCAACTCCGGGTCACTGAATTATTGGAGGGATTACTTTCGGACTGCAAACTCTGATATTTTTGATATAATCGACCATGCGATCGTGGTGGCGGCTTCCGATTGCCCCACGGAGTTGAGATTGCGGCGGGATCGGATAGCAGAGCGGTTGTTTTCCAGCAGATTGACCCGGTGGTGTTCGGGTTGCGAAAAACAAGTCGAATTGGCCACCGTGCCTGGCGGCGATGGAGAAGGAGATGACGACGAAGGCGGCAGCGACGATGTGCACAGAGGGTGTAAAAGTGGGTTTGATGGAGGTGGAGGGGAAGTCGAGGGCGGTGGCAGTAAAGAGAGCAAGGTGAATAGCAGCAGCAGAGATGATGAGGGCGGGCTTAGCAGCGACAGCTATGGATTGGCTGAGGCCTTGACTGATGAGATTGAGCAAGAGTCTCAAACTCTTGGGGAGGTCTTCAGGATTAGAGACATGTTTCTTGATTACGAACAAGAGGTAGTATTCATTGCAAAATTCTCTCTTGTTACCCATTAATTGTTGTTAATTTGATCTCGAGGTTGAGTTCGTAGTAAATTTCTCCATTTTTTGTGATTGGTTTTCGAACTTGTTTAAGAATGGCTATGCTTTTTGTGTTTTCGGTTTCTGATTTTCGTCTTGTGTCAATGTTCCGGCAGTCTGATACGGTATTGTTTGACTCTTTGAGGAAGCTTCAGTTGATGGCTCTGAATGTGGAGACTCTCGAGGTTCGCTTCTTATTTTTATCTGGTTAAGTTATTCGTTTACATTGCCATCTCGTCAATCGGTTGTTGATTTTCGCCATTGTATGTATGCAATGCACTAACAAGACTTGTTCTTTTCCAGGCAACTGAAATTGGAAAGGCGGTTAGTGGTCTCAAAAAGCATGGATCAAAGCAGATTCGTCATCTTGCTCGAGAGCTTGTCTCGTATGACTTTGTATACCCTAGTTTGGCAATGGTTATTTGTTCTTTGTGTTTACTCGGGGGACCATACCTGTATTTACCATATCTTCTAAAAGTTGTTCCATTCATACTTTGATTTGCTTATTGCTTACCATCCCCTAGTCTGCTTTTAGGCATTCCATATTTGCTGCTTCTTAGTTGAAAGCGTCTTTTTGCATTAACTCGTTTAGTGGGCTGATAAGGAACCTTCTTGAGGGAATTCTTAGACAAAGAAACACCATGACTCATTTCAGCTTCTTTGTGTGCCTGAATCATTTAGATAAGGAAGCCCTTTATTTCTTTACCCTGTAACTTAGTGCTATATGGGGCCATGACTACTTCGATTTTAACATTGTGTTTGTTATCTTAGATTTTGAAACCACTGTGCTTTAACATGATTTTGTGGATTGCAGAGGTTGGAAAGGCATGGTAGATGAATGGGTCAATGCTACAGCAGCTATTGCCAGTATGAATTCTTAAGTTTACGTTAGACATATTTGTACCGTAATTTCAATTCTCTCCTGGTTCATGGAAATTGATTTTAATTTTTAACTTGTAGGCACAAAAACTATGTCAGATTCTGTTAATCCATCTTTTGATGATGAAGAAGGACTACCATCTCCTCCTCTTGATGAAGCTTTCCTTGCTAATCAAACCACGACAATAGAACTCTCGCAGGTATTAGTCCTCTTCCTTGCTTTCTTTCCTCTGGAGAGGAAAGTAATCTTTCTTCCAACATGATTGGCTGTAAACTAATTGGTTTCTTTTCTCTTGGATGTCCAACAACCACACTGAAGTTCTTTGACGGCATGGATGATGATGGAAGTGAGTTGAATTTGCAAAAAATTATGTTTTTGTTGGATAGCTTTGTGCTATTTGGTTCTTTATTTGAATTCCCCAATTATTGGATTCATTGATTATGAACGGGGGATGTTGTTTCAGATCCTCGAAACAACGGGGAATTCACTGAGTACCGTGAAAATGGAAGAAAGCGAGAAGTGGAGAAAGAAAATACTATTAAGCAGAACCAACAATATTCAAATGAGGCAAATGTGCTTCTTAAGGGAAACAAGAATGAACAAGTGAAGAAACGAGAAGTTGTGAAGCCAAATAAGCCCTCAAACACTCACTATGGGCCTGGCAGACCTCCCAAAGTTAGTATGGATCAAAAGCTCAACAGTGAAACAAAGATCGAGCAAAAAACAGATAAGGTTGCCATTCAAAAGAGGCAACACGCTGGTCAGCAAAATGTAGGTGCTAGTAACTAATTACTTGTAGCTAGGAGCTAATTACTGGTCTTGTACCTTCAATCTGTAGTTTTATTCTTGATCTGATTTCTGTTCTTGATCTACTAGAAATTCAAGTGTTCAGATGAAGTTGCAGTCCAAGTGAAACTCGAAGCCACAAAAAGGAAGCTCCAAGAGCGTTATCAACAGGCTGAGAACGGTATGTCTTACTGACTACTGACCAAGGATATGATAATGGTGGTTTGAGGTTTTCTCGGAAGGCGTTTTCCATTTATTCTGTTAAAGTCTCAGTCATTGGGTGTTGAAGTGGGTTAAATGCTAGGTTTAATTGTTTGTTGAAGATTCAAATTCTGTTTCACTAATCAGTTGTTGTCCAAGTTTTCAATCTGACTAATGTATTCCTACATAATCCTTCTTTGGCTCAACAGCCAAGAGACAAAGGACGGTACAGGTTATGGAGTTGCATGATCTCCCCAAGCAAGGGCTTGCGCGTAGGAATCCACACGGGAGACCTGGAAACCAAAATCGGCATTGGGCTCATGGACGGAGATAAGTCACTTGTGCAACGGAGACTGATAGTTTTGAAGGTTCTGCCATTTTCAATTCAGTGGACAGGGGCAAACTCTCCGGCATGTCATGTCTTGACTCATTTTTGTGTCAAAACTGAGAAATTTATTCACCATTCTTGGCGGGGAGGGGATGTTTCAGATTCAGAAGCAAGAAACTATTGAAACTTGCCGTAAACTCAGTACAGTGAGGTTTATAGAGGCCCTTTAATTCATATTCGGAGGCGGATTATTACTTATGCAGTCTCCTTTTTACTTGGTTCTGAGCCATCCATAGAGAAGTTTGATTTTCGCTGCTCATTTAACTGACTACCCTCGAACATATTCTTTTTCTTCCACAGTCCAAGACTTACGTAGCTCGAGTTATATAAAGTTGCTTACTTTGCTGTTATAACGAACATCTGTAAGCACCTTCATATTAACAATAAGATTACTTTCATGTGTCCTTACTTTTAGGTCTGCATTGCTATTATATTAGATTTACGGACGAAGTGCTCGTTCGAAAGTTTCATTGCCTGTCACACAAGCATTCAATTCATTCACCTGACTGATCTGCAAGGGTAAATATGAAAGATGTTGAAACAATAAGGCCTGACTTGGGCTGTTATTTGTTTGTTCTATTTCTTTATCCTAGAAACTTTTTTAATCGTCTTGACATATTTTGTGGATTCACTTTGTGTTTAAATTCCGTTTTCTTTGTGTGGAAAACTAATGCAAAAGATAGAGAAACCAAAAACATGGTCCCAAGTGGCAAATTAATTAGTAAATCATGTGTTTGAGGCAATGTTTTAAAAGGTGAAGGCGTTTTATGAATAATCTCACCTAGACGAAAGCCTTGAGTCGTGAAGCGAAGTCTCATGAGACTTAAAATTTTAATATTATTATATATAGTTATATTTATAAACTATAATACTTTGTAATTCAAATATAATTGTATCTAAATCAAATATAATAATTATATTATATTATTCACTCCTTAATATAGATGAGCATGAAAATTGTGTCGTATTGTTGTAATTATTTATTTTATTGTAAGCAAAAATATGGAATTTTAGAAATAAGGTTATAAAGAATTTTAAGGGAAATAACGCTGAGTGGGTACAATTATAGGGAACTTCAAGAGAAATAAGACTAAGTGGGCCACATGGAAGGCAGTTGGGCACCTATTTGTTAATCAAAATGCTAGGTGGTGAAATATAAATGGGCAACAATTAAATGGGAATTGGAGAGAGAAACTCAGTTTCTTTCTTTCTTTCTTCTTCGTTGAAACCAAGAATGGCAGAGCTTTCCACGTTCTCTTCTCATGGATTTTGAAAACGGACCTGGATTTTGAAAAAATAAAAAAGGCCAAAGAGCAACCAAAAAAAAACAAGCCCTTGCCTAGACACACCCCAACGAAGTCTAGGAAAGTTTTTCGCCAAGTAGTTGGTATATAAGGTTTCATTAGACGCATTTTATTTTTAGAAATTGATATACTTGACTGCACATTTTTCATCGCCTTGTATATTATGTTATTTTTTAGCACATAGACAATCAATTCTTACTCAATTGCAGCATCACCATGTTGGGTTTTTTGCTCAAAATTAGGATGATGCAATAAATTAGGTTTGTGTTACCTATGTGGTTTTGGTGTCCTATTTGGGTTTGGTTTTGACTTGTTAGTTAGTTTCCTTGGTGGAGTTAATTACCTATTTGATTAGGATTTGGATTTATTTCCTATTAGGATTCTTATTGTAACCTAGGTCTTATGCACTATAAATAGGACCTTAGGGTTAGTGTATTTAGTGTGGCTCATTCATGTGGCAATTTGGTGAGAGTCAATTAGTGAGTTTGTGAGTTAGAGAGCAATTTGGGAGAATCTTCTCCATTTGTTTGAGTTCTTTACTCGTTTGGTTTAGGGTTTGTAATTTGTGGGATTTGGGTTGTGAGAGTTTAAACACTCTTTCGTAATCTCTATTTGTTTAGTGAAATTCCTCGACATGCTTTGCTCGTGGACTTAGGCTTTACGCCGAACCACGTAAATCTCTTGTGTTAGTTTGAGATTGTTTGTTTTAGCTTTCACCTACAACGTTGATATTGGTACTTTGTTAGAATTTGCTTCTGTTTGCACATAAAAGTACAACTATATTGCAAACCTTGGATTTGTTCCAAGTAATACAAGCTTTACTAGCCCATTGCTCATATCATGTCGACAGTTAGGATAAAGCCTGTTAATTTTCAAATTATGTTGTATTTCATTCATGAGGAACCATTACAGGATGTACAAGATACATATATAGCAAGAGAAGGTCATCACACACGATGACTCTTCCCTAAATCACGCCCTTTAAAATCAGGCTTATCTAAACCCTAAAAGTGATGGCTCCTTGAATTAATGAGTTGACTAAATGTAATTGTGTTCTACAAGTAAATAGAAATACTAAATACAAGAAAGGATGACATGGGATAGGAAGCCTAGAAACCAAGCAATGATAATCTGAACGTCTAGTGGATTAGTACATGATAATTGACCAAACTCTAAATATCCAAAAACCCTAATTACCTAGTGTGTTTAAGTGAACATCTTCCAACACTCCCCCTCATGCTGGGTCTAGAAGATTGATGGGACCAAGCTTGGAAAGAAGTATTTTGAAATGATTTGTGGCCAAGGGTTTGGTTAAGATGTCTATCAATTGATCACAGCTTCTAATATAGTGAGTTTGAAGCACTTGGGGACTGAACTTAAGAACGAACATAATGGCAATCTACTTCGTTGTGTTTTGTTCTTTCATGGAACACTGGGTTTAATACAATATGCATTGTTGCTTGATTGTCATAATAGGGGACACATGATGACTTGTAAAGAACCCTAAATTACTCAAGAGACCTTTAAGCCATATTAACTCACATGTTGTTGAAGCCATTGCTTGGTATTGAGCTTCAACAATGGACCTTACAATTAAAGGTTTCTTTTTTACTCTTCCATGTCACCAGATTTCCTTCAACAAATGTGCAATATCTAGTAGTGGATTTACGATCAATTGCATTCCCTGCTCATTCAACATCATAGTACCTTATCACTTAAGTACTTGCATTTTTTCCTCATAATAATTCTATGTCCAACTGATCCCTTAAGGTATCGCTATATTCTTTTGACAAGATTAAAGTGCTCAAGTGTGGGAGAATGCATGAATTGCTTGGCTATGCTAACAATAAAGGTTATATCAGGTTTAGTGATAGTACGATAGATTGACTTACCAACCAACCTTTGATGGTAACCAATGTTAGGGAGTGGCTTGCCTTCCAAGATTGTTGTCAAAAGAAGTATGGACAAGTCTAGCATCACTCATGTTAAATTATTTGAAAAGATCCAAGACATACTTTCTTTGGTTTAGTAACAACCCTTTGTTGAATGTTGTCATTTCTATCCCAGAAAGTATTTTAACAATCTAAGGTCCTTGATTGAAAATTTCCATTGAAATGAGTGATTGAAAATTTCCATTGAAATGAGTGTTTGAGATTGGAGATCTTTTTAGCAATGTCTCCAGTGATGATGAGATCATCCACACATATGAGTACTATCGGCTTACTAACAATCCATGTTCGAACAAACATGGATGAATCTGCAATGCTCATTGTGAAACTAGACTCTTCAAAGACTGAGCTGAGCTTAGCGTACCAAGCTCTTGGGGATTGTTTTAGTCCATAGATAGACTTGCGTAGTTTACAAATCAAATTAAACTCGTGGCTTTGAGGGTGACTTGGTGGCAATTTTATATAAACCTTCTCTTGAGATTACCATGCAAAAATACATTCTTCACATCCATTTGATACATGAACCATGCATTGTTCATCTTTGCAACTGGTAAAAAGGTTTCTTAGTAGTCCACTGTATAAGTTTAGGTGAAACCTCAAGCAACCAACCGAGCTTTGTGTCTTTCTATAGATCCATTCGAGTGAAACTTAACCTTGTAGATTTGTTTATACCATATTTAGGGCCTCATATTTAGATCTCGTACAAATACTCAGGGGACTTAAATGTAATTATGTGATAAAGGAAGGGGCAAATATGTAATAAGTGAGGAGTCCTTATTCTATAAAAAGACCTCTCACCCTCATAATTAGGAGAGGCCATTCCTAAGCCTTCTCACCCCTCTCACATCCCCTCTCATATTACAGAGGCTCTCTCCCTCACTTCTCAGAGAAATACAATACAATCAGTGTGGACGTAGCCCGAACCTTGGGATGAACCACGATACATCTTGTGTCATTTACAATTCATGCAGATTCACGGTCGGATTTACGTTGTTCCAAGACCTCCGGTTTTGTGCATCAACATTTGGCGTCGTCTGTGGGAATCGATTCGAAAAGTTGTGTCTGTTCTCTTTCATTTTTTCACCTCCACCGTGAATCTGCAAATCTGCAAAAACCTGGAAAAACCAAATGAATCAAATCTCTCATGTCTCTGTCTTGTAGAGCCTCCAAGACCCACACGGACTCCAACCCGTCCAAATTTATGAACCATCACCAAAATCCAAATTCCAGAAGAAAACAAGCTCTCTGTCTCTGCAGGTGAGCCAATCCACTGTGCCCAACAACAGTTTCGAGGCTCGGAGATGGAGCCAAGGATGGTTTCGAACCGGGCAGCAGCAACATCTCCGGATCTGGAAGAGCGCGAGCCCAAAGAATGGGTGGCCCAGGTGGAGCCCGGAGTTCTCATCACATTCGTCTCCGGATCTGGAAGAACGCGAGCCCAAGGAATGGGTGGCCCAAGAGGAGCCCAAAGTTCTCATCACATTCGGTTACCCAGCACCCAAGATCTCAAATTCTCAATGCTTAGAGGTCGGTGACAGGGCCAAAATATCAAAGATCTAAGGAGGATGACTAACCAACCAATCAGATTTTTGAAAATCCTCTGATTTTTCCATCTGGGTTTTGCTAGGCTTATGATGGGGGTGGAGGTACAGAGCTGGGTTGTTCCTAATTGCTGCTGTCGTTATCATTTGGGTCACCTCTGCAGAAGCCTTACCCGCCACAACCAACCCCGCCGCGCGAGAGGCTCCTCTGATACTGGGACTACAGTCTTCTGCCCTCGTCGACCATGTCGCCCGTGTTGACTGGTCCCTGCTCAATCGACTCCTCGGCGAGCGCAGTGGCTCTATTCCACGTCGACGACCCATTTTTTAGCTCGTGGGGCTTCGTTCATCACCACCGTTGATTTCCCAGATCAGTGGAAGAGCTCCTCCTTACCGTTGCCGCCCTCTTCTTCCTCTTCGCCCTCTCCCACGCCCACACGTCATCTGACCTACCCGCTAACAAAATCAGCGGTCGCGATCCAGCCGGCGTAAGGTTACCCGAATCCAGGCCTAAGCCCAGACAACCCACCTCCATTGTCCCCGATTATCTGTCTCTTTGGATAATGGTACGTATATTTAAGGGGGTGGAATATTGGTTTGGATAGCGACACCATCACGTTTGCTTTGAAAAGTATCG